TTATTTATTTATTTACAGTTTCTGTATGTATGTATTTATTTATTTACTTAATTTTGGTTGTATTTATTTATTAACTTATTTATTGATTTTTTGTTCTATTTATTTATTTATTTATTTATATTTCTATACCTATGTAATTGTTTAAATATTTCTTGTGTAGTATTTATGTATGTATTTGTTTGTCACATATTGGTGCTGCAAAAACAAACCGTTGCGTATATTTGCTAATGCTATCTCAAATGAGAATGGAATATGTTAGCAACTTTTCAGCATGTACATGAATCACATGGTATTATCAAATTGTAGTTCATCATGCATCACATGGAAACAGTTGCATGTGGTACGGGCACTTGTGAAACAATTGCTATATATGGAGATAATGGTCTGTTCATCTAGAAACAAAAGCTTGGTGGCCCTTAATCAGTTTAATCGTTGTTATCTTCCAAATTTTCATTTTGTGGAGAAATTGCTGAATTTCATTTTTGGTTCAGTCCACAGTGACACAACCCCGCCAAAGGTGTGGTACGTGCTTGACATTAACATCTATTTACACAACCATTTAATGTGTTTTTTGGAACCCAATTTATGCCAAGCAAATGTTGGAAACTGTAAAAAGTGGATACTGTCAACAAATCTAGAAAATTTGGTTCAATTTTTTTTTCCCCGATATTAATGGTTCCAATCCATCTTATTTTATAAAGTGTATGCAATTCTTGTATGAGTTTTTTTGCTGTGGTTTGCAGCGTCCATGGATCCGCAAGAGGGTACTAGCTCTGGAGTCATACGCAATGGGCAAATAAATGCGTGGATACGAGAGACGATCGGAGAAATGGAATCAACGGCATTAATGATATAGGTGGAAATTGCACGCATTGCTAATGAGTATGCGTATGTTGACACGACTCAATTTCACACATCATCATTGATTGGTCGATTGTGGATGAAAGAGATGCTTCAAGGTCAGAATGAAGCATTTCAGCGAAATTTTCGGATGTCAAAGGATGTGTTCTTATTGTTGTGCAAGACATTGGTTGAGGATTTCAGTCTCCCACTACCACAGCGTCCCCATGGTATGGACGTAGTTAAGAGTGAGCGTCGGCATGTTCATATTCGTGTTACGGGGCTTCTCAAGTTGGGATATTGAAGACCGTTTCAACACTCAGGAGAAACAGTATGGGGTCATGTAATATGCGTTCTTAAAGCAATAAAGTTGTTCACACGTGCACATTGTTGACCGACGAGGTCACAACATAACAGACATCCGTACTTAGAGTCCCGACAAAAATATTTGCCATTTCGGGTGAGTTTAATCATTTACCAAACATTTCATGAATAGTAACCACATCTTTGTTAACAAGGGATGACATTTTTTGGCATCATGTGTTCGTCCCTGTCGCTTACGCAATTGCTGTGTGTGCATGCCCAGGACTGTATTGGCGCGCTAGACGGCACACACGTGGAGGCACATCTCTCGCCGCGGGAGACAGTGCCATATTTTGGCCGTAAAGGACGGGCCACACAAAACATACTCGCGGTGTGTGATTTCGACTTGTGCTTTACTTTTATCTCTTGCGGATGGGAGGGTAGTATACACAACGGTAGAGTTTTTAATGAAGTAACACAGGACCTGGCCAAACAGTTCCCCACCCCAAAGGAAGGTTAGCTGAATTAGGGGTGTTCACATCTTTGTTAGTTGTGTGCATTTCATTGAAGTATGATGTTACTAATGCAAAATTATCTTATGACAACCACAAAAATATTACCTTGTTGATGCGGGGTACAAGAACCAAAAAGGCTATTTGGCGCCATTTAAGGGATGTCAATACCACCGAGAAGAGTTTTACGCTACTGGACGAGCAAGAAATGCAAACGAAGTTTTCAACACGGTGCACTCCTCCATATGGATTGTAATTGAACGTATGTTCAGAGTATGGAAAGCACGCTGGGGATTCCTAGATAACATGCCTCGATATGATTATAGGAAAGTGCAAGTGCCACTGGTCGGGGCTTCAATAACACTATATAATTTTATACGCCACAACTCCGACAGTGATGAAGCCTTCAACAAAGTTGCCAATGTAGAGACATTTACTTTCAACGACATGCCAAATGTTGAGGGTGCTGGTGATGACGATGATGGTGAACCAGAGGGCGATGATGACGTACATATGAACAAAGTTAGGAAATCAATTTAGAATGAGTTGGTGCGACATCGGCGTCATCTTGGGTTATAATCCTATTCGGGCTTTACCAATTGACAGGAAAAGTGCAATTTCTTCGCAAGAAATTTGATAAATTTAATTTTAGTGGGAAGAATTTAATTTTGTTAATGTGATGTGTAGTGCAACATTGAATAATTTAATATTTTTAATAATTTAATAATTTCAACTGCGTAACATTAAAAGGTGTTATATTACGTTTCAAAAAAATAATTCAAACAAAAACATGGGTCAAAATGTAATTTTCATAAGTTGGGTAAGGGTATTTTGGTCATTTTAATGTGATGTGATAACATAAACAAATATTAAACAAAAAAGTCAAAAGCCAGCTTTTTACCAACTTCCCAAATCACTTTCCAAAAAAGCCAAAAAGCTTGATAAAAAGCCAAAAGTCAGCTTTTTACCAACTTCCCAAAACACCACATTATTTAAGCGTTGTGAAATAATAATGAGAATTTATTAATATTTTAAGTTTAGAAAGAATCAAGATTGTTTGGGATAATCTAAATAAGTGTCCATTACATCAATAAAGGGTAATGTAACCAAAAAAGATAAAAAAGATAAATCAATGTATTTTTTTAGTTCATGCCAAGTAAGCTCTCATTACAAACTCTTAGATAATATAATGGAGATTTTCCTCCATTATAATTTTGGAATGGAGAAAATCGCAATCTTGTGAGTTCTGCCATACTATTTTTGTTACCAATTTTGCCTCCCATAAGTAACATATTAGGTTCAAATAAGGAAAATGCTATGGATCTCAAATAAATTATCAAATTTTTTACAAAACCTCTCACATGAGTGTGGGACCCACACACATGCGATTTGTGTGGGTCCCACGCCCATGTGAAAGGTTTGATAAAAAATTTAATAATTTATTTAGAATTCCCAGCATAACTCTACAAATAAATCATAAAATACTATTCACCATTACTAGACTATATTTTAGACTAAAATAATAATTTGAAACAATAATGGGTTGGGAGTATAAAAAATGTTTATGGAACCAAAATTTTTTCATTCCAAAGATATTCAATAAAATAATAGAAAAAGATATTAAACAATAATGAGAGCAATGTTGCGTAACTCGAATTTTATCTTGTCCGAATGGCTTAAATTTTGGCTTACTAGTTGATTAACTGGTCATCGCAAAAAGGCTAACAGTTGTGATCAACAAGATAATAATCACAATAGACAAGTGTTATATTGATCATCTTAGGGTCCGTTTGGGAAGAGCTATTCCCGGCTTTTTTGGCTATTTTAGTCACAAAAGACAAAATAGGTTATTTTAGTCACAAAAAATAAAACATCACATCCAACCCATAATCATTACACTCTTCTCTCACAAAAAAAAGTTAAAAAAGCCAAAAAGCCCTTCCCAAACCAAACTTTTTAACCCAGGCTAAAATAGCCAAAAAAGCTAAAAAGTCAAAAAGTCAACCCACTTCCCAAACAGAGGCTAAATGATCATCTAACCAATTGCCCATATAGTCAACCAACAAATACAAATTCAGGCCATTTGAACAAGATCAATCAAAGTAGCAATCTTTATTCCAATGCAGATTGCCACCCAATCAATTACTAAAGATTCACCGTTACCGTTATAACCAAATATGAATCGTCGTTATAACGTCGCACTCCCGTGTCTCCTCGCCTTTTATTTCCAAACGGCAAATCCAGATTTCATAGTTCTCAACATCGCCTATGTACATAGGAATGACAACGGGCCGGGCCGGGCCGGGCCGGGGCCGGGGATCGCACTCCCTGTCTCCCGTCCCCGTCCCCGATCCCCGGCGGGGACGCCATCAACCCCCCCGCCCCCGCCCCCGCCCCCAACGGGGATCGGGTTTTCCCGACCCAAAAAAATCCCCGACAATCATCAACCACAACAACTCAACTCTGAAAATTCAAATCTGAAAAATCCCCCCAAAAGCCTCAATCATCAACAATTTAACAATTTTTTTTTTTAAATAACTCAGCAATCATCAACAATTTAGTATGTTTGTTCATATCACACACATAGATCTAAGAAAACCCTAACAAACAAACAAAAATTAGAGCTGAAAACAGAGTAAATGGAGGGGAAAAAAACGAACGAGAGAGAAAGGGAGAGTTGAGAATCTGAAACTCTAAACTAAACACACATATATTATATATATAATACGGGGTAACGGCACGGGAGAGAGAGAGAGATCTGCTCGTCGTCGGAGGGGGCGTCGATTCAGATCTCGTGGCATCGATTCAGACCGTCGTCTTCATTGTCGTAGTAGTCGGAGGTGGCGTCATCGTCGGTGGGTTTGGTGAAATCTGAGTAAGGGAGAGGGAGAGAGACAGTAAGAGGGAGGGAGATGAGATGAGAGGCACATCAATGAGTGTGAGAGGAGGGTTTGGTTTTGAGTGAGATTGAGTGAATGAGGGAGAGAATAAGAGAAAGGGAGATGAGAGACGCAACACTGAGTGTGAGAGGAGGGTTTAGCCTTTATATATTATATATATATATATATATAGAGGGGTAAAATGATAACTTCACTTCGGGGATAACGGGAACGGGGATGGGGACGGGACACTTATCCCGACCCCGTCCCCGGCCCAAAACTAATCGGGAATTGATTTTTAAATACCATTCCCGTCTTGTTGGAGATATTTTTCGAAAAAAAAAAATCGCTCAAATCAAAGTCAGAGGGTCAGATCCCCGCCGGACTAGGTTCAAATTGCCATCCCTATCTGTACCCGCAACATAGAGAGAGAGAGAGAGATTATTACCCACCCGCTCATACGATTTGTATCCCTCTCTGTTTAATCCAAACCAATCACAATCTATATAAAAAAAAAAAAATCATTTAAAAACCACAAATGATAGTTCAGTACTACTAAGCTTTTTTCTGTGCAACAATGGCGATTCAGGAGAATACGATGATGAAGAGTGGTGACCTTGAAGCCGGTGAAAATGGCCGATTGTATCCCTCCATGACTGAGAATCCACAGCTTCGGTGGTCCTTCATTCGAAAGGTTTATTCCATTCTCGCGATCCAGTTACTTCTCACCGTCGCCATCGCCGCCATCGCTGTCTTCGTTCACACCATCCCCAAGTTCATGCTTCACACCACTCTCGGCATCGTTCTCTACGTTCTCACTCTCATCGTCCCCTTCATCAGTTAATCCACAAATCTTCAACTTTCAATTTCTTCGCATATATGTATATATATATAGTTTACCAAGTGTTTGATTTTGTGTTTTTGTGTAGTACTGTGCCCATTGTATGCGTACCACAAGCAACACCCGGTGAACTTGATTCTTCTGATGATGTTTACGATTGCTATCGCATTCGCTGTGGGATTGTCATGCTCGTTTTCCAAGGGTAAAAATGAATCAATTTTCTGTTTATGTTTCTTTATGTGAATTGTGTATGAATCAATCTTATATTGCCGATACTGTTACTGATATTCTTGAATGAATTGACACAACAAAATTCAACCTTTAACTAAGTTAAGTAGTTGGACTAGGTTTGTGTATGTATCAAATGTATGTAATATCTGTGTATAAATTGTGTGTTTATTATGGCGGATAGAATTGTTGCTAAAGGTTACATCTGATCTACATATTGGTGGTGTAAAGGTATTCTTTCTAACATTATTTTGTGAATGAAACCTTAATTAACCTCTGTTTGGTTGCTGAGAAATCTGAGAAAAGATAAAGAATAGAAAAGAAAATGAAATGTTTTATGGACCTATTCATTAGGAAATATCTTTGCTAGACCGAAAGTTTTATGTTAGATGATTGAGAATTTTTTGAATTGATATAGAGATAACAAATTACAAGTGAAGAAGTTACTCCTTACCCATTTTATAATGGTTGGTACGTAACAGGAAGAATCGTTTTGCTGGCTGGGATTCTAACAAGTGTTGTGGTTGTTACCTTGACACTATACACATTCTGGGCTGCAAAGAAAGGCTATGACTTTAGCTTCTTGGGACCTTTTCTTATCACTTCCCTCATGGTGCTCATTGTTTTTGGTCTCATTCAGGTTTGTAGGAATTTTCTTTCTCTTCTTTTCCCTGATGCAAGTAAATCGTGTTGGACTTTTCAAATTGTTGTTTGCTAATTCTCTCCCTACAAAATTGTGGTTTCAATAAACAGATCTTCATCCCTCTAGGAAAATTGGGGTCAACAATATATGGAGGCATTGGAGCAATCATATTTTCTGGTTTTATCATATATGACACCGACAACCTGATCAAGCGCTTCAACTATGATGAGTACATCTGGGCTGCAGTCTGCCTTTATCTGGACATTATCAATCTCTTCCTTGCTTTGCTTGATGCCCTCGGTGGCGGTAGTGGTGGCAGCAGCCGTAGTACTGACAACTAGAGGCTCTGCTCATATTACTGACCTTCCTCTCGCTTAGCTTACCATGTTCAAGTGCTGATTAACAACCTTGAAATTTCATTTCCTACTAATGAAGTATATGGTTACACAGATGCAAATTTTCCTCAATTAACAGGATGGTCTAGCATGTAAATGGCGACTTGCTGATATTGATTTTTTGAACTGGTAGCTTCATGTTCAGGGTATCCAGATACTGCAAAAGTTTAAATGGATGAACACACTTGGTGTTATAGGTGCTTTTAATCCTCTCTCTTGTCAATTGATCTTATTGTTTTTTGTGGACTAATGTCTCCCATAATTCCACGAATTTATAAAAGTTTCACATCTACACTTCTCTATTTGAAATTCAAAATGGTTACAGAAAATTTTAGTACTTATCCTGTCTTCATAGCCATGAATGGTTGGTTTTGCAACCTTGTTAAATGAAACGGAGATATCCATTTTATCTGTGAAATAGAGAGGATAAAAATAAAATAATTGTTTTGGTTTTGGGCAGGATGATTAGACTAAAAAGTGCCAATTTAAACTATTTGTTAAAAAGTTAATTTGGCAAAACTATTAGGTTATGGGAAAATTATCAGATTATATGATGTTTTTAATTTGAGATAATCTTGTTAATGCTAAGGATTCTATTGTGATTGTGAGGCGAATTCACGCAAGCGTAAAAATAATTAAAATTTATACCATTTCATGACAAATGAAGCCAATGAACAATTGAGATGTTGTGTGTAACATGCCTTGCATATCAATTATGTAAGTATAGGTAAATGTACTAAATGAAAAATAATGTGCCTAGTGACAGTGACCTTAAAATTAATGTTTGGCATGGTAGCATTGGCAAGTTCTTTTTATTTTATTTTATTTTTCTTCCTGGTAAATAAGGGTTTCATAGTAGGAAAAGATTAATACATAGTTCTGGGATATAATATCCCCATAGCATCATACATAATCATATGGAAAATACAATTGGTTGGAGGGTAGGAGAAGACATGAAAATCCCCATCCACCATGAGTGTACGGGGGCCAAATATCCGATGTTATCCGTACTTCTCATGTCCAAGATGTGTTTCACTCCGATAGAACACAATAATGGTGAGCTACTCGGCAGTGTGCTACTAGAAAATCCCTCCGACGGTCAAGTTAGCACACTCAGAGAGAGAGAGAGAAAAGAGAGAAGACAAAGTGGTAGGTGAGCTCTGATTAGAGGATGTTCCAAACCTGAGTATGGGGGCGTAGCACTGCTTATATAGTTTTTGCGCGTGCTTCTGCGTCCATTCCCCTCAGGACGCGTGGACTTGCTTTCCTCTCACGTTTCCCTACGTGTCAACACCAATACAGCTAAGCACCACCTAACGAAACCGCCAATCGGTATTAACATGTATGGATAGCGAAATCTCCTTCCTGTAATCTCACGGCGTCGCATAGTACTCCCCACCGAGTTACGCTGAGCACGACACCACACGTCACCTCACGATCGTGTTACTTGTCCTATTTCTTTGATAATTCCACACCGTGGCTTAGCCGAGCTTCTTCAGTTATGACTGAGCTCCTGCTCGGTTGATCTGATCTTCAGAGGACTAAACCCGTCTAACTCAGCAGAGCGCATATCTACACCGGGCTAGCGGTCTGTGGTTACTCTTACTTGATCAGACTAAGGTCTCGGCCCAGCGCGCACACAATGTTTGCATGAACTTACCTCGGCCCAATGTCAATTTATGAATTTCCCTCTTAATTGCCCCTTAATCTCGTCCGCGCTACCGTGACCAGGATTACCTTCTCTGGCCGAAGTCTCTCATCTGCTCAGTCGTCACCCTTAAATCATTCGCCGCACTGACTTTCTCGCTTGGCTCCATGACTTGCTCGATCGGCATTTCAACTTTCCAGCCTGTCTTTTCTAGACTGACACTGGTCTTATCAAACAAGTGTCCTATGTTCATTAGCCTCGTATAGGCAACCCAGCTGTCTCACGCCATCTCCTCGAATTAAAATTTTTGGCAACCCTTCTCATTCCATATATGTTGATACGCCTCTTCAGTCCCCCATATCCATTGTTCATCATCTTCTCCAACGGCCATCTGTAGATCCTGAGCACCCAAGCCCCAATTTTCTGTGTTCGCCATCTCTATCAAAGCATCTGTTTCACCAGCCTTTCGTTGTCGTCGCCCCCGCAACACCCTTCGTCGACTGGAACGTCGTTTGCACCTTCGATTTGGTAAGTTTTTAACTGTTTCTTTTGTGTTTTTCCTGTATTTTCAAACTCCCATCATCACATTCACTCACTGAGGAACGAAAAAACACCCCAATAATAACATGAATGGAATAGGGTTAAGTTTTTTGCGCTGTTTTCGACATCCCGAAGCTCTCGTGCCCCCTAGTTTCTCACTGTTCATCATCTCGTGTGATGAACAAGTGCGGATCTAGGCTTAGCTGGGCTCAAAGCACCTTTTTTATCTGAAAGAATAAGTAAACCAGGCAAATTAGCTGTTTGTGGAGTTGAGGCAGAAAACCGGGGTACTCAATACTCGAGTCGTGTGACCGGGCTAATATCTAGCCTGCTTGCACGATCGAGCTCACCAAATAGGCCAAGCTGCGAAGAGCGCTCGATGTGACTGAGCTAAAATCAGGCTCATATGCGCGACCGCGCTACCACTTACACTTGATTTTTAACTGCAGACTCTTAGGGGTCCAGGCACACCAACACAAGGGCTCTCAAACACCGAGTAGCCATCGTTCAAAACTTTGCCAACCTAACACTGCCATGCTGAAACAAGCCGGGCTCCCATGGAGCACTACCGCTTCCTCGTTAACACGCCGGGCGCACTGGTCGCGTTTCGTGAGGAGTACGACGTCCCTGATTAGTACAGAAGATATTTCTTCCCGGGGCAGGCTGGATCAATGCCCCTTCACCGTGCTATCAATTGTCGATGGAGGTCTTCGTTTCCCAGTGCAACCCTTAATCTGTGAATTCCTTAGGCATACCGGGCTAACACTGACTCAAGTTTCGACAAACACCTACCGAATAATAAACTGGGTTGTCGAACTGAATCACCAGCTTGGCTTGAACCTAGGCCTGGCCGAGATTTTACGCCAATATACCTTCGGCCACACGGCTGATGGGTTTAATTATTACTTGAAAATAAGGCCGAGCAAAGAGAAACTAGTAACTGGCACACCGGATAAAGACATGCACGACGATGACTTCTTCTGGGTGTTAGGGAATTATGAGACAGCTGACGTGCCTAGTTGGTACATTAGTAAGAACTTCGGTTCAACATGTAAGTTATGCTCTTTGACTGGTCAATTAACTTGTCTTTACTATTTTGTACTAATCGTTTTCTTCTTACAGCTATTGAAACCTTGCAAGCAAATTACTTCAACCTAAACAAGGTTGCCATTAGAGCCATGTTGAGGTACCGTCACCAAGATTGTCACGACCTTCTCAGTTACGTGCCGAGCTACCAGTACTCGGCTTCCCGCAAAAGTAGGGTTACTGACTTCCTGCAAGCACCATCTCCATTACCAGATCCAACATTTCCGGACGTGCCCTTAATTTGGTTAACCAAGGAGCAAGAAATGGCCAAACGGAGCCGAATTAAGAATCTCATCACGGCCACATCAACCGAGCTGCCGAGCATCCCCTCTCATGCCCCTACTACCGGTCAAACATCTGGGACTGTGATCACCCTGGCCTCGACTGCCACAGCACAAGCCAGCAAAGAAAGTCGCCGAGCTAGAAAGAGGCCTCATTTTGTTGATCCAACGGCCAATCTCATTGCCGAGTTAAGCACTGAGCAGCTAGCGAAGGGTTCTGAGCCAATACCCCCATGGCGGCCAGAGTTAAAGCACCGGGGTAAGGATATCCCGGTCAATGCTTCGATTAAGGGAGACAAAGAGCATCTCTTGGCCTACGATCTGTCGAAGGCACTGCTTCTGTCGAGCGACATAACTGGTAGCGATCATGTGCCTAACACCCGCCTAGTGAAATCTGTGGTCAAGTCTATGACCAGGGTAAGAATTTGGCAAATTTTTCAAAGTGTTACCCCCGTTAGTTTCTTGTTTGAACTAACTTTCCTCTGCTCTCTTGCAGGCCATCCAGAAATAACACCTTGTCATGGACCGGATTCACAGACTCCGGCAGAAGGTAACCGACGTCTCCAACCTGGCCAAACATCTGGGGACCGAGCTGGGGCGATCCAAGTCTTCCCTGGAGATGACCAACGCAGACAACACTAGATTGCTCGGCCAACTTGGTACTGCCGAGCAGGAAAGAGACGATCTCCGTACCGAGCTGGAAACATTAAAGAAGGCTAGGCAAAATGAAGTGGACGAGGCCACCAATCTCGGCTTCAAGGAGGCCGAAGAGAGCTATACTAAACAGGTCAAGGCCACCAAGGACATATTCTTCAAGTCCAGCTAGAAGGCTACCTGTGAGAAGCTCAACCAAAGATGTGAAACCGAGGTGTTTACCTTTCCTCCCCTTGTCTTTCTACAGGTCTATATGGTGCCTTATGCAAATGACGTCTTCAACTCATTGCAAGAGGACACTGAGGATGAAGCCAAGGAAGGGACCGAGCAAAAAGGGGGTCAGAATGAGGTCGGCCAAAAAGAGCGCGGCGAGGCAGCTACCTTGGTTGACCTGGAGGTTGCCACAGAGGGAACTGGAGACGAATTCGCCGACCTCTCTGTAGCTTGAATTTTTCGCGCCCCCTTTCGGAAGTTTGAAAGAAGCCCTACAATTCAGACTCCCGTGATTCTGAATCTAATCTCATAAGTGCAATGTGAAATTGATAAACACCGAAGAGTCCAAATCAGGTAAATCTTTTGGAAAATCGATTTTGAATAAAAAAAATGCCAAAATTCGACTGCTTTGCCAGATACAGAGACGCCACCTAAATATTTTATTTTGGAAAAATTTAGGAAACCCATGACTCGTGCCAAAGGCCACGTGTCTATCATCACCAAGATTATCTCGGCTCAGGAACTTAGGTACGAGAGGAGAAGGTCATGAATTGAGCACCCTCGCTCACCCGATCAAAGATCGACCTCTACTAATCATGATATGATTTTAATCAACATTATATGCTCTTGTTCCGGTTTATTAGGCTAGCATTTACTATGTGATGCGTGCACACACAAGGTATAGACTAGTTTGCTCGAATTGGAACAATTTAATTTCATATTTGTTTTTTGAAAAGGATTTGATTTTGCCACTTAACAAAGTAGGTCACTTGACAAAGTGGACTTAAACGTACATTCATTGAATTATTCCAATTCAAGCGACAAGCCTTTATCCACAGGCATTCAAACAGTTTAGCAA